GGTCCTCACGTGGATTCAAGGTTTAACAGTGCCCAAGGTCACATAAGAGATTCAGTGGCTGAGTGAAAAGCTGAAGACACCTCCCTAGAATCAGCATCTACTGCCTTCATCCCAACCCCATCCAGCCTTTCTTCTACACTTCTTCTTGGACAAGGGGTGTTGACCTCTTGTGGATGCTGCCTTCTCTGTAGGATTTTGCAGGTCCTTGCCAAAGGGGACTGTCAAAAGTCCTTCAACCCTTTTCTTGAGGGTGGAGGAGCTGACCCCAGCTCTCATTCTGTGTTCAGTAGGCGCTAGCTAGTCACGGCCTGTGCTCTCATCAGACTTGTGGCACTGGTCCGCAACTTTCCTGTCGAAACATTCCCAAATGCACTTGGCCTTTTTAATTTCTTAGCTTCCCAAAACAAAACTTCCTTCTCATCTGTTCCCAATAATGTCTGAGCCTTTTTCTTTTAGATGCCTGACTCTTCTTTCTCCTGAAGAGTTCCTTCCTTCCCCAACCCCTCCAGACCCTTGTTATGAGAAAAGAGGCAGAACAAAATATGCTGGCACACAGCTGTGAATTGGCTTTTTTTCAGGAATAACAGAAGACATTTCTTGCCTTGGTAGCTATGAAGAAATCAGATCAGAAACTTGCTCTGAGGTTATTTTATTATCTCCCAACAAGCTATTTCAGGAAGAGAGGGAAAAACTATCTGGAAAAGATGAAGAAACACTGATAACTCCCAGTGCCAATGCAGATGGACTACTGCCAGCTATTCTTCAGCTTCATGCATGCAATAAGGGCACATAAGTGAGAATGAGATATGCAGTAGCTCAAGAGAAAATCAAAAAGGTACATGGTGAATGAAAGTTTACAGCTGACGGCTCAGCAGCAGCCTCAGTGCAAAGAGTTAAACTCCCCCTGCAAGAGGTGGTCAGCGGAAGCTGAAGGGTTTTGCATGCAGGCTGATAATAATCACCTTCAGCATGCCCTGAATGTGCTGCTGAATGTCCCTTTCTTTCCAGGACTTTCTTGTGTGTGTGTTTTGGTGTATGCGGGCAAGACAACAACAGACATGAGCATTATCCAATTATGGGCGGGCTGCTGGCTTGGCCTTGCTGCCAGACTGGGGATGACCTTACAGCTTGGGTGAAGGAGCAGCCCAGAGAGACCAGGTTTGAGTTAGAGGAAAAAGGAGCCTGCTGGGGCAGTCTCTCTTGTTCTCTTTCCGGGCTGACGGCATGACTGTGCCACAGTCCAGGGCAAGCTGAGTCCACAAGCCCTTTTGGAGAGGTGAAGTGTCCCATCACAATAGTGGGGAAGAGCCGTTTGTGAAATCAAATGCCCACAGTCCATTTTTACACCTCTGCTCAATCCAGGACCTTGCACCAGACTGGGTGGAGCATGGGTAGTTGCTGAAAGTTGCACAGCCCTCCTGGCACAAACTTTCTCTTTGGTTTTTTTCCACGTGGGAGATATGTCGCCTTCAGTTCCTTGCTGAAGTTTCTGCCTGACTTCAACTGGAGGGAATTTGAGTAAGTCCAGCCTGGAGGTGGTAAATACGAGGATAACAGCTGGGTTTTCACTGGGTCGAAACTTCTTACAAGCCTGAGGTGGAGTGACCTGTTTTCAACCCACCAGAGCCAGCAAGCAGTAAAGGGGTATTAGTTTCTCAAGGTATTTACCCATTCCGACTGGATCTCTCTTGGAAGTACTTTAAACCACTAGTCCTTCACCCAGGCTCAAGCACCCCAAAGCTTGGTGCTAGATGTGGGACACACCAGTCAGTGGGTAACACCAATGAGTTTGGAAAGAATTAACTGGAGACCTCTAGCCCATAAAGTCTAAAGTCTTCCTTGACCAACAGCGGGTATATCTCCAACATGTCTCAAATGTCCTTTCAAGTAATATTTAATGACACCATCAGCAGACTTCTAAAGGCATCGCTTCTGGTCCTTCATTGTAATAAGATAATGCATTCTTCTTGTCATGCATAGCCATATGGCCTCAACTTTTAAATGTGCTGATGCAAGAATTCTTCTACTCTTATTTTTGCCAAGAGTTTTTTTTTTTTTTTTTTTGGGGGGGGGGGGGAAT